CCCCCCCCCCCCCCCCTCTCTCTTCCTCCCCCCCCATCCCTTTTTCCATAAGACACCAGGTTTACTACACTACCTAGTTTCTCGCCGTGTCAACGCATGATTATTTATTTTCTTTTTTCCCCCCCCTTTGCGCTTTACAGGGGGGGTATATCCCAGCCGCATTATATCCAGTATGTTTCAATCGGTAGGATTCGAACCCATGGTCTGTTCATCAACTCTCACATGGAGTGAGTAACATTCAGCCACATGGACTGTTTTTTTTTTTTTTTTTCCCCCAACAATGGAGTGGGTCCCAGGCACCCTTCACAGTTCCAATCTCCATAACACTTGTATAAACAATTGAAAGCTGAAAGTTGAAAGCTGAAAGTTGAAACTCATGTAAACTGGTTGAATGATTGAAATTTGAAATTTGAAAGTTGAAAGTTGAAAGTTGAAACCATGCAAATTCTCTTTTCTGAGGTTTCTCTTCTTTCATTTGTTTCATTTTTTCATTTTTTTCATTTTTTTTGAGACTGAAACGGTTTTCACCTTTCTGCAGTCACAAATGCGGGCCCTAGAGTTCGATTCCCAGACCTCACTTTGCCCGTGTACAGTATCGAGTCGACACCCGAGTGTTTGAACCCGTGACCTGTGTTTTGGTAGTTGTTTGTCGCCTGTTGTAGGTCTGTGTAGAGGTAGGGGTTCGATCTGTAGATCTGTCAGTTAGGAGTCACAGCTTTGTAGAGGTCGTAGCTGTAGGTATCCTGAAAGGTCAAGGTCGTAGCTGCTACAGTATCCGAAAGGCCAAGTCCACAGACTTCCGGAAGGTCCGGAAGTGGCCTTTTGAAGTGTCTCACATTTAGTCAGAGGCAAGTGGGCACGTGGTGAGCCTTTAGTCAGAGGCAAATCGGCAAGTGGTGAGCCAACTGCGTTACGTCGGCAGTGCGACTGCATCGAGTTGGCAGTGCAAACCCATGCAGTCAGCGGCACCGGTCCCAGTCAGTCCGAGTCCAGTCAAGCAAGTACCGTGTGGGACTGTGTGCACAAAGGGCCTGGGAAAGGGGCAGACCAACGAGTTACAGAAGCATAAATCAAGAGGCAGCGCCCAGCCATTCATTCATTCGCTGCGTAAGCCATGCGGATGCGGAAGAACTGCTACAGCGTCTTGTGCGAAGGTGGTCTGCAGGTTGCCCGAAGACGAAGTGGGCTGAAGAGCGAGATCGTAGTCATAGCCAACAGTGGTAGAGCGGCCATAGCCGCGATAGGAAGAAGATAGGTTTAGTGAGTGTGTGTGGTGGTATTCAGGGTGGTCCAGAGTGAGCGTGTGTGAACAGTGGGGTTTGACACAGTGACCAAGGTTGGGATGTTCAGGCGCTGATGCGCCATAGCCTGTTGAAGAGAACTTGCATCTGAACTGTGTTCTTGATTTCCATATCTAAGCTTTGAGTGGGCGTCTGCGCCAGTGTGAATCTCCATCTGTGTTTGCATGTGTGCGAAGTGGAAAGAAAGTGAGTCTGATTGCAAGACTATATGTAGTATGTAGATAATTAACAATGGTTGAATCTTCAAACTTCAAACAATACACCTTGCCCTCTTTCCCTACGCTCCCCCTCCCTTTCCCCCAACAGAACCCAGAAGCTGACAGTTCTAGTACACTAGCTCGTAGCCCCCCCAAATCAAGTCACGATGTTTCACAGTCCAATTGAAAGAGAGAGAAAGAAAAACAAAAACAAAAACAAAAGCAAAAACAAAAACAAAAACAAAAACAAAAGCAAAAACAAAAGCAAAAACAAGAGTGCACAGGAGAGACATCATGAGGGGCATTGCATCTGCTCTACAGAGTACACTGTTTGAGATAGCACACCTCGGCCCCCTCACTACCCACCCACCACCCCCTCCCCACAACCCACAACCCACAACCCACAACCCACAACACCACAGAAGGAGATATAACACTGAGGCAGAGAGAGGCAGACTTATCAAGAGGGACGTTTTAAACAGCACAAAGCTTCTTTCTCTTCAAAAGAAACTCAAGAAAAGCATGATGTACAATTAACAGGACGATTTGGTCGTACTCTATCCACTCACGGGAGGCCATGTGTCGATAATAATGCTCCAGCAATGGCGTCTGCTCCCTTATCCGCTATCTCATTTGCATACAGATGAACAGCCTGCCATGTTGCAAGCAAAATGCCAATTTGTGGTTTTTACTTTTTGCCCCCGAAAGTTAGTCCAAATTTCCAAAAGGACCAAATTGATACACCCCCCCCCCACCCCCACCCCCTCCCCTCTTGTCGCTGAAGGATGATACACATGAGTGGTGAAAATACTACATGGGGGCAGATCACCTATCTTATGCGCAACAGACGACAAAACAGCATCTCGAAGCACTACAGCCTACTCCTTATCGAATTCTTAGGTGTCAAGGTGTGGGTCTCATATTCAGATAATCAACCAAAACAAATATATGCTATACCCAAAACGTATAAAATTTTGTAAATATCATTGTTGAGTCTGTGTTGACAGAATAGATCAGGAGGTCAAATCCTTGTGGATACAACAATGCTACCTTCTTCGCCCGAATACAACGTACGGTCAGTATAGCTGTATGTATTTGGGGTATCTTTCAGTCTAAATACAGCTATAATGACTGTGCATTGCATACGGGGGAAGTAAGGTAGAGGCTACCCATCCTCTTTGGTTTGATTGTTTCCGAAGAACCAAAAAAACATCTGCAAAAATTATGGCTAGCATTCAACAAGAAGGAAAAAAAGCAAGATGGATCACAATTCACCTATCACTAGGCTATTAGTCTATTGACCTCTACTCCATCATCATAATTATTCTTTTTATTATTTAAGAGAAAGAGATTGATAACTACCTTTATAAATTGCCATTTATAATTTTTTTCCCCTTCTGATCATTCTTTTAGACGGGAAGCACCGGCGAATATGCAATCAGGTGAAGAAAAGGCATAGCATGTTCCAAAAGCTCTGTTGAGGTTTCCATTTGAAACAAAATCAATAAAATAGCTAGCAGTGTGAGAATCTGTGTCCTCGGCATGCCCATATGGGGCCCTTTTGTAAGCCCTGTGTGCACCCCCTAAGTGAAGATGGGTCTGCGCCTCTCGATGAGGCCTGAATTTTGCCAGTTTGAGGCCCTAGTGGGCACCAGACAGTTGCCAGATGCCAGTTGGTTGAGAGGCCCAGCACGCAATGGAACCGTGACAAGCCTGAGCCTTCTAGGCTTTGCCAGGCACGACATGGAAGCTGGCCTGCTGCAGCTGGCCAATCAGGAAGCAGTGAGTGAAAAGGCTCATGTCGTGCAGTTGGGGCGCGCACTGTTGTGGGCCCAGGCCACTATCTGAATCGGGCCTGGGCGCAGACACACTGGCGCAATGTGAAGCTACTGGGCAAACGGTCGTCAGGCCCAGGCAGCAAGCAGAGGCAAGCACTTTCCATTTAGGGAAGTGTCCGCCTCCCATTCAGACATTCGGGCACTTGTTGCATGAGCGGCAGCGCTGCTAGTCTGAGCAGTCGGAGACCACGTGCTGGAAGTGCTTGCTTGCATGCGTGCTGTATGGAGCAGCACCATAGCCCAGCCTTCCATAGCCAAGCTGGTGCTAGAGGAGGCCAGCGAGGTTGGTGGTGGTCCTTGTTTGGGGGATGAGCGTAGGGATTGAAGACGAGGGTGAGCAAGAAGAGGGCGAGTGAGAAAGGGCGAGAGGGCACATACCTGGTCGTCGCGGAGGTCTGCATAGGCAACATGTGCATGTACTTTGGTTGCTGTTGCTGACGTCATCTGGTTGCTTCGTCATTAGCGTAGGCTAGTATAGGAGCTGTGTGATAGTAGTCCGGGCGCTGAGCGCCTATAGGGAGGGAGGGCTTTCATTGACAATTGAGTACACTGCTTTGGTTCTCCTTTGGTGTGATTTCGGTGCATTTCTGCTTTCTGGACAGCTCACGACTATCTGGCTTTCCCCTCATCTCGCTGATGCCCATTTTCCTTGCAAAAGTATGAAAACGGATACAAGTAAAGTGTATAAGAAAAACCAAGGCTGGGCCGGCGACCGACCGGTTCAGCTCGCCTGGTGCAACAGGGCCACCGGCGCAGAGGACGGGGGGGGGGGGGGGGGGGGGGGGGGGGGGGGG